CCCCAAAACCCCAAAACCCCAAAACCCCAAAACCCCTTGCAGCGAAGAAATTAATTTTTAGTAGAGTACACCTGATGGCTTTAGAGTAAAATTATTTTTGAGACTCTTCTTTTGACTCAGAAGGCTGCTGCATTGTTGGGTGCATCATTGGCTGCATCATCGGTTGCATCATCATTGGCATCTGAGGCATGCTACCATCAGGATTTGGAGATTGCATCATTTGTTGTGGGTACATCATCACTGGCATATACATCATTTGTTGTTTTTCAGTATCATCTCCCTCAGTACCAGATGGCTGCTGTGGGATTGCATATGGCATATAATAACCTGGATATTGCATTTGTTGTCCGTTTGTTGTTGATTGAGGAACCATTGTATAAGGCATTTGAACCATTTGAGGAGTCTGGTCAGATCCTTGCCCTCCCATCATTGGCCATGTCATTGGCATCATTTGAGGCATTTGCCCTCCCATCATTTGTGGCATTTGACCACCCATCATCTGGGGCATTTGACCTCCCATCATTTGTGGCATTTGGCCTCCCATCGTCTGTTGATTCATAAATTGAGTTTGTGCTTGCTCTTGAGTTCCTTCTTTCTTTTCATCCTCTTGAGGTTCCTCTTTTATTGGAAGGGGCTGTTCGTTCTCAATTTCTTTTTCTTCTTCCTCCTCATGATCATCCTCCTGAGATTCATTGGATATTTGCTCATTCTGGTCCTCTGATTCATTATTATCATGATGTTCTTCTTCATGTTCTAGTTCTGGTTCTTGAGTATCTTCTTGCTCATGGTGAATATCCTCCCGAGGTTTTATCTTGACTTCATCACCATTTCGATACATATGTTCGTGTTGAGTAAATTCAGCTTCGTATCGTTCATATGGGTCTTTGTGATATGCATCCTCTTCTTCATCCTCATGATGAGAAGGATCTTCTTCTGGAGTGTTCATTTTAGCTTCAGTAGGCTCTTCCTTTACTGGCTCTTGCTTTTTCTTAACTCCTTCATTCGCGAAAGGATCATCAAGTAAGTACTCATTGACCAATTCTAACTTCTCCTCTTCCGGTTCTGAGTCAGGTTCAATCTCATCTTGAAAAGGAGAGATAAAGAATTGTCTTTTCTTTTTGGACAACACTACAGGCTCAGGCTCTTCAAAGGCAGGCTTTTTCTTGGCCTTCTTACCTTTCTTAGCTTTAGGCTTCGGCTTGGGTTTTTCTCCTTTCACAATTTCAGGACCCTCGTTTTGATCATCATGATTATTTTCTCCGTCCAAATTTTCGGCTTTTGAGTCATCTTCATTATTGTCAGTGTCTTTCTTAGTCCCGTAATGAACTTCATATTGAGCGTAAGGGTTGCTATAAGGATTGTAATCTTGATCATCCCTGTCACTTCTGTCATGTCTATAATTGTTGTAGCCCCTTCTATAGCCTCTGCCTCTAGCACCTCTTCTTCCGGCCCGGCCTCGGGCTCTACCTCTGTAAGAATCGGTTGCCTCGTACTCTTCGTATTGGTTATACCCTTCGCCATAGCCAGAGTTGTGGTAGCCACCTCTGTAGTTGTTACCGTGCTCGGCTACTTCTTCATTTTGGTAATGCCTTCCATATCCTTCTTGAAAATGCTGAGCTCTGCAGAGAAAAATTAATGAGAACTTACTCATGGTCTTCTTCCTTTGGCTCCTGGTCTTGGTCTTGATACGTGTGATGTTGGTAGCCTTTATCTAGAGTTTAAGATTTTGATTGTACCATATTGGGCATTGTATTGGTTATCGTACTGTCTCTGGCCTCGGTGGCTACCTCGGCCACGCCCGCGGCCTCGCCCTCTTCCTCGTTTGCTCTTCTTGTTCACAAATTCCTTTTTCTCCATTTGTTTCCATTCATAGGCAGCAAATCCCTTATATTTCTCATCGACTGCGTAAATTTTGAAATGATTGTCTATTTTTTGTGCATCAAAGTTATTCTCGATAATTTTCTCTTGGATTTCGTCCTCTTCAAGAAAATCAAACTGCTCCTTGATCTGTTGGGTCATTTCTTGTAGTTTCTCTTGCTGATGGTATGAGAGAGTGGAGTAGGCATCGTATCCCTTGTAGCCTCTACCAACGTTGTTCCATCCTGGCTCTCCCAATTCATATTGTTCTTCTTCAGCCATTTTATTGGTTGTTTTACTAATTTATATTAAATTCAAAATTTAATACAAGGGAAGGGGTTTTGGGGTTTTGGGGTTTTGGGGTTTTGGGG